ATAGCATTATAAGCGGCAGAAGTTAAAGTTTTTAAATGGAAATTATTAATTGCATGATGACCTCAACATGCAAAACCTTCATTATTAGATGGACCCGCACTTCTAAAACACTATTGCTTTATTTTGTGAAAAGGGAATGTAGTCTGTATCTACAGTATCCAGTGAATGCATTCATTTGCTTACAAGAGATAATGCAATCATTTTGAGGGAACCGTTTACTGATGTGCAGCTGATATGACTTCAGATGTCTCTCCACCACCATTATTAGCATGAAAACACATCCACACTTTGGCATTGTGAGGATCGACGTACAGCCTTCAAAATAGAGGTATAAACTCTGATGGAAATAATATTTACACAAGCAGCATTCTTGGTACAAATTTTTGCAGAAAAAAAATTAATAGCTAAAATGAATTTTCTATGATTAACATTGCATTAAAGCACAGGTAGTCTTAAACAAAACACAGCAATTGTCTGATATTAATGATATTGCAGGTATATCAAGAATCTACAGTAGCCTATGTTTTTATGCTTTTTATTCAAGCGTCTTAAAAGTAAATACACTGACTACATTAATACTGACCCTCAAGCAACCTGGGGTGAAGTGTATCGCTTAAGGACAAAATATGGCAATGGTGTGAATATACTGAATATCATCAAAAAGGGTAAAAATTATACAATTGGTTTAGCTATATATCACTCAGCCTTACAGTGAATCTGTAACTTTATATGAAAAAAGTTTCTTCACCACCCCAAAACATGAATACAAAAACTGTGATGCATGCGATTTAATGATAAAATGGCTATTAATTGCTCACCTACAGTAGATATTGTCTACACATTTAAAACTGTACCTTTAGGGAAGTGAAAGTTGTGCAGTAATGCTATTTAAAAAAAAAAATACAAAACATAAAATACTCCAAAGTGCATTTAAAATAAAAGTTGAAACTAATTTCACATTCTGCCACACTTTCTTCTCATCTCCCACACAACAATCACCACTTTATTTGCTGGTTTTACTATATGCACAAGCTTTATATCTAGAAGCCAAAAATCTTAGCATTGTGATGTAATTTAAAAATACAGAAACACCAGACAAGACAGGGAGCCGAGGTGTCAAACAAGTTATTAGACTGTCACTGTGCGTTTACTTGTAAACTAGCAATACTTTAAGGTAAAAAATGCTAGAAAAAAAGTCTCCAGAAGTTAATTAAATCTGTAACAACTTACAGAAAATTATAACATAAATGTGAAAGGTTTACTTTTCGGAGTAGGTTTAGAGGTTGAGTATATGTATGGGGAAGTCTGAAGCAATTATAATGTGCATTATTTATACCTGTAGGAATGGTTCGCAAAAGAAAAAGTAATAAACATAAATGTATGTATGTGATATATTATTTGATATATATATATTATTTTATTTTTTTTTGGTGAACTATTCCTTTAAAAACAATACGTTAATGTACAATAATGTTTGGATAGCTAGGTAAATGTGTGTGTGTGTGTGTGTGTGTGTGTGTGTGTGTGTGAATACAGTGAATCTTCTTTCCATCAACGCTCCTTGTGCACTTTCTTATTAGACAGGCTGCAAAATGACATAAAAAGGGAATTAGTTCACTTGTATTACCCTAAACTGCAATAGCTCTTTAGTGCATAATGACTATATTGAGCAACTGTTTATCAATTAAGCGAATCCCGTTTATTTACTCCATAGAGAAACTGATTTTCAACAATACTATACAAGACTATTAAGACAGACCTCTCATGAGCTTGGAATCTGTCGACTGGAAAAAGTGTTATGGATTATGGACTCGTATTTTAGCCGGAAGCAACAGTTGTTAAAATGCCTTGATGGATTTGTTTCTTACAAACACACAGCTTTTGGCTTCTCAAGACATTAACTGATGGACTGGAGTGGTGTGGATCAGTGGTTCTCAAACTTTTTACAGCCGCGTACCCCCTGGGGCATTTAACATTCTTCTGCGTACCCCCTCTCTTCCACTTAGACCGCAGTCACACCTTTTCTATTAAAGGACAATATTTGCACCCTTAAATTGATTTACAGGTGCATTTTTTGTATCTTTATAAAGGCAAATATTTTCTATCCTTATTAATTGTATGTCATGTTTTATGTCATATTCTTCACATTTCATTAAGTGTATTATTAATATAATAAATAAAAGTAATAAATGATGGCAAATCGAAGTGATACTTGTAGATTTAAAAATAAAACAGCCAATAGGTGGCGGCAAGTCGCTGTCTTAATGAGCCAGGCGTCGCGTCATTCATTCATTCATTCAGTAATAAAAGCAAAATGCTGTAGTTATGAATGTGTTATTAATCACTGACTCTCCGAATCAGTCAAAGCCGCAGATTCGTTCACTAATGAAACACCGCCGTATATTTGCTCTTCATGTTATTAAGTGAAGATCTACTTTAAAGATACATTGAACAGCAGTGCGATTTGCTAAAGCAGCATATTCAGCTGGCATCCTATCACATGCATGCTGCTTGTGTGGATGCAGTCAGTTTTGACCGCAAAAGATGTGGTAAGCTGATTGGATATCATGTATTTGACCGTTTACGGGACCCCCGTTTTCCTGTTTTTACATTAGAAGCGGCATTTTGCTTGTCAGAAATACGTTCGGTTTTAATGTTGCTTTAAGTTGGGGTATTAAATGAATGCCAAAACTCAGAATTTTGTTCGCGTACTCCTCACCGTCATCTCACGTACCCCCATTTGAGAACCACTGGTGTGGATCACTTGTGGATTATTGTGATGTTTTTATCAGCAGTTAGGACTCTCATTCTGACGGCACCCATTCACTGCAGAGGATCCTTTGGTGAGCAAGTGATGGAATGCTACATTTCTCCAAATCTCTTCAAGAGCAAGTGATGGAATGCTACATTTCTCAAAATCTCTTCAAACAAACTCATCTACATCTTGGATGGCCTGAGGTTGAGTACATTTTTCAGCAAATTTTCATTTTTGGATGAACTATTCCTTTAAGTATTCATGTCGAAAAGACTTTTTGTGCACAATATTTCCTTCTGATTGCATTGAACACATGATGATCTCAATAATAATCTAATAGACACACATTCACACATTACAAGCTCACAACTGATTAAACATTTTTCCAGTGAGCAGTAAAAAAAAAACACAACAACAACAAAGGATGATCACATGCTGTCTATCTTTGTCTGACACTTACAGAGATATGTGAATGATTTATTGTTTTCGACTGAGTAACTGGATGGAAAAATTGGGCTGAATTCAAGCATTCTTGGAGAGACACATAATGGTAAATATCTGTTCCAGATGGATTACAATCAAATCTGTCTAACGCCGCACATTTGGTCAAAATAGCTGTTGCCATGCAAAGAAAGACATGATGAGATCGTAAAGTGACGTGGGATGTTGCTATGAGAACAGTCCAGTGCGCTTACCTTTGGGGATCAGCATCTGCAAGCTTAGGAAAGGGGGCTAATAAAAAATAAATGAAAAAAAGTAATTAAATCCAGCAGGAACAAAACTACCTGAAAGTTACTGTTTTGTGCACAATCATTCTTAATACTAAAGTAAAGTAATAAAATCGTTTTCAAATTATTGATACGCATTATTGATTTGACTTCACTAACACTTATCGGATGACAAAAAAAAATTTGAACTTGTCTCTGGCTGAATAATGTCACTATTGTCTTCTGTAGACAATAACACATTTTATAATGTCTGATAAACTTTGCACAGTTATTGAGCTGAATAATGACACTATTGTCTTTTTTGCTGCTTTACAGCATACTTTGGTTTGGTGTCATATTTGAAGAATTTGCATCATTGATTCTATTATTTCGATTTTAAAATGCTAGTTAATGTTATCGCATTGGACTACACGGGGTATAACAACATCCCCAAAATGTTGATACAGTAATAGTTGTACTTTTTAATAGTTTTGTACCTTGTTACACATGGGGTGTTTTACCCCGTGTCAAAAATGACCGGCCAACAAAAAAACTCCTTCTAGATTTCTCATTATGCTATATCACTACCAAATATTGAATTCAATCAACATGTTTTATTTAAGTTAGTACAGATTTTGTATTTGTTTTTGGAATTGACTGATTGTAGGCCTCATTGAGCTGAGCTCATGCAAAAAATAAAAAAATTAAAATCTACAAATAATGTTTGTTTGTTTGTTTTTCATTCAGAAACTGATATGCAGATGAACTCAGATCAATGAGGCCTACGATCAAAACCTCTGCTAATTAAAAGAAAACAAGTTGACAAAAAATGGTGATTAATATAGCATAACAAGTGATTTACAAACTATTTGAAATGACCGGGAACAACAAATTAGGTAAAGGATTTTCAACACAGCACAAGGGTTAAATAACTCTGACTTTTAAACTTCAGAATGTAACTCGTCTGCACCATTTACAACCGAGAGTAATAAAGAGGAACGATTCTTCAAATCATGTGGTTGGTTGCAGAGAGATTTTCTGGCGCTTGAAACAGACAAAATATGAAATCAGAACCTTTTTGTGTTCAGATCAGTTTTGGAGTTCCAAGTGCTTCCAAAGGAGCCTTTAGACATTTCATCAGTGATGTTGATATTAGAAGGATCATCTCTGAAAATAACCAATAAAAACATCATTCAAATCAATAAAATATAACATTAATAATCTTGTGCGTGCATGAAACCAATCATAAAACATAATTTGACTCCAAATTGTAATGCGATGTTGAATGCTTGACAACAACTGCTTATTCCAATTATTAATAAATGTCAATATTTATAATTTGTGTCTTTTTTCAAAACCTGTTAACGTATTTTCTACATTCATTCTACTTATTTAATTTTTCTAAACGTATATCAAGTCTCAAGTTATTTAATTCTACTTCTTTTATTCTTTCGATTCTCTAGTGTATATATGTACAGCATGTATGCAAGTATGTTTATAAAAAAATACAGAACCCATGGTAAAATCACTGTCAAGTATCGCCCTATTGTTTTAATAAAGCAACAAAATCTAGTATCGCTTGCTATTGTGAGAATTAGTTAGGAAAATCTGGTCCATACTTGTAATGTCCCTCCAATGGCACTTGTACGATTCCTTCTTCCTCTGCCAAAATACTTTGCTCCTCCTGGCAGTAAACACAGGGAGAAGGAGCGAGAGAGAGTTTTATTCCCGTCCAGCCAAAGAGAACTTCAGAGACCCTTTGAGATTAAATAATTAAGCTGAAGGACATTTTGGCAGATCGATTCATGTTCCATTTGTTTGGCATGAAATGAATGCATTCAGATGCTGAGGTGGGTGAATCGGGGTCCCTCTATAAGAAACGTATCATGGCAATTTTAGCAAGAGTAAAACATGAGATTATGTGCCAGGGGGTCAGAAAGTCTCCGAATGCAGGAAAAACAAAACTGGAGCACAAATCAGATCTCCTCATTAAAGCAAAAGGATTTCAAAAACTCGACGAAGAAAACTCATGCTTTTACTTTCATTCAGCTTACGTGAATAAACTCATGTTGTATCATTCAGTTATACGGACATTGTCTTCCAAATGCTAATTACTCGTGTTTTTAGGGGTCCAAACTGTGATGTTTTTGTTCGTTCCCTATTTTTCTTTTTAAAAACTGCTTCAACTTTGTCGCTGTGTGGCAAGAAGTCACCAAAATTTTGCATGGAGGTTATTTCGATGACAAACTTTAATAATCTTAATTATGTGATGGATTAGTGCTGCCTAGCAACTAGAGTACCAAAATATTAAATATAATCGCTCAGTGCAGCTGGTCCATTTGAACAACAGATGTGAGATTTATGTTCCTTTTCTTAGATCTTTTGCCTAGATTTTTGTTTAAAACAAAAATCATCTTCTCATGAACCACATAACTGATTTGCACAAACCTGTGCATGCACGCTATATGGACATATAGGTAGCTAAATGTGAAGGAATGGTTGACAAATGTTTGCAGAGTTATTCTAAATGTAAATTTGAAATTGTAGCATTTTCAAATCTGAAAGCCTGGAATTACAAAAACGTCTGAGTGAGAGTGATATATGTATGCAATGATTTAAATACAAATTAAAAATGCACAAAACCCTACCCCTAAAATGTACAAAACCCTAACCCTAAAATTGACAAAACCCTAACCCTAAAATGTACAAAACCCTAACCATAACCCTCAAATGTACAAAACCCTAACCCTAAAATACACAAAACCCTAACCCTAAAATGTACAAAACCCTAACCCTAAAATTGACAAAACCCTAACCCTAAAATGTACAAAACCCTAACCCTAAAATATACAAAACCCTAACCCTAAAATGTACAAAACCCTAACCCTAAAATGTACAAAACCCTAACCCTAAAATGTACAAAACCCTAACCCTAAAATTGATATATATATATCCCTAAAATGTACAAAACCCTAACCCTAAAAT